GAAGTCGTCTCCAAACTAATATTTTTTGAAGCATGACTTATGGTGAAATTCTAGAATAATATAATTAATATAGGAAATAATAATGTTTTATTATTTAGTGGGAACCTTTCCTAGACTACTAGCTAGCTAGTTTTCTAGCTGGTCCCAAGTCCGGATAAACAGAGAGGGTTGGGGCGTGATGCTAGCAACTCCACCCCGAAACTTAACCAAACCGCTGAAGAAACTTCAATGCACAAATACATTAAATATTCCAAAAATTCAATACGGATCAGAAACTTGGAGGGCGGGCGGGTCACAAAGAATATTTCCAACAGCCTGTTGCAGACCAGACCTTTATCAACCAACAACTGTCTTCGCTGGATCTATACTGAAGATCAGATGGCCGGCCGGGCCGGACCGGAAAGAATCACCAACAACAAGAAACTATGGGTGGGAACAAACAAAACAAGAACCAATCGCCAACCAACAAATATGCAGGAGAAAGTGGACAGGAGTGGATTGGACACTCGTGGCGAGTGGGACGTCAATGCAAGGTTGACATGGAGGAGATGGTGTGAAGAGGAGTTGAGACAGTATGGGCCAACATGCTTGGATGCAGGTGAAAAGTAGAGCAGAAGACAGAAGCAAAAGGAGAAGTGCAGTCGAAGCCGTATGTTCCACTAGGAACCCAAGGGAATAATAATTATAGTATATGTTTCTCATACTTGAAATTTTTTCACCTTTATGAAGAATCGTACTTGAATTATTTGGTGAACAAAAATTCAGTAAACAACCTACAACAGTGAATCTCCGTGATTTTATGAACATCCACGCTGTTCGTTCGCATAGTATTATCCTTCCTGATTGATTGTGTTGTGTTGACTGTGGCATTATTCCAGAACACTATACATTTAAGATAATTTAGTAATAATTGTTTAAGTATCAACTCGCGTTCTGAAATTCTTTCATTAGGTTCACGAGGACAGAAATCTAATTTTTCCTACCAATGGAATGAAACCAGTGGCTAGAATTACCTTTGTAAAATGAAACATTGTGTATTTCATATATATAATACAACAGTTACTCGTGAATTAATGTAGTAGTTCATAAATCTTAACCAAATAAAATAAATTCTAAAAATTCTTCAGTGCTAAATTATCCTGAAATTAAAAATTTTTTCTCCTAGAAAAAGATAAACTTTCCTGAACAACATTCTTAGTCATGTGTTCCTTGAAAAAAGAATAACATGTGGAGAAAGTGTTCCATTATTTTTTAGCTATTTTGCCTACATTGTTTCATTTCTACATCAAAATCACTAATACTATTACAATTGTATGTGAAACAATTTCAAAGCACCTTTAGTCCCCCTAATGAGAAACATAGACCATATTATGGTGAAGTAATTTATTAATTATTCCCGCAGTTGTTTCAAGACCAAGATGATGGAAAAGTAAGGGAAATTCAGTTTGATTAGTCACTAGTGTGATGTGTCTAGTCCTCTTTTTGGTACAGACTGAATTCTATCAGTCAGGTTTGCAATGTGGCCACCATTATAGGTAGCTAGCTCGCCATCACGGTGCACATTGATTTGATGATATTAGATATTTGGAGGTAATCGACATGTAGGCAGTCGCGAGCCTGAATAGCTCAGTGGTAACGTGTCTGACTGCAGCAATAGGTGACGCAAATTCGAATCTAAGAAAGGTTAGAGATACGCATTTCTGACAGGTGAGTGCCAACTAGCACGAAACCTAGGTGAAGCAAGTCTTCCTGTGGCCGATTGCCTCCAACCATTTAATATCATCAAAATTCAGTTTATTTTTCATCATTTTTGAATCAAGTTTACTTAGTCAAACCAGGCAGATGAATTATACAGACGATCTGTTTTTATATGGAAATGCTATAAACATGGAATTATGGTAGAAGTTGATTAAAACTGACTTCAGTGTATCTTAGATGTGAGAAGGAAAACAAGAGGATTCGTCTGATGTACTCATCATAGGGGACTAAATTCAAACTTTCGACAACAATGTCAAATTAGTTCTTCTGTTTGGTTAAGTAACTTTGAGTTTCACCGAAAGCGCAGGCAAAAGGCTGTAATCTTTCATAAGCAGTTGTCCTTGTCCCATACTGAAGATCAGATCACTCGGAGACATAAGCAACAGAGAACTACGGAAACGAACCAAACAGCAACCTACTACCCAATAAATATATCGTAAGAAATGGAGGTGGTTTAAAAACGCGACAGGGAGACCGTTCAGTTACACCGTGTGCCAGGTTCTACAGTGGATTGCGAATAGGAAATAGTGAGCTGAGAGTGTGTTCGAAGGTAAAATAGAGGACAGGGTGGGGGGGAGGAGATGAGAGCTTGTGGATGATCATGAAGCCAGCTGAAATGCTCCGCAGAGAACAGAATAATATGAAAACATACTACTGAAGCCTACGTTCGTCTCTGAACCAAAGAGAATGATAATAAATGATCATTTCTTTTAAGTTACATAGTAAGATAGTACATAAAAGTCGTAGGATAACTAGTATCCATTGAAGATAAGATGATTATTTTAGACAGAGAACTTAATTAGTAAACTGAGAACTGGCGCTAACTTGAACTAAAATACACTGAATTTGTAGTCATCTGTGAAGGTTAAACATTTGCGGTTAAACTATACAGGTTAGGGGAAAAAACAACACCGAAAATTTCCATCTAAACTATAAATGTACCTTAAGCACCACACATAGCATTCTACCAATAAGGTTTAACCTAGTGTTATTGTTCTATAAAGTAATTGAAACAAATTCCGAGTATTTATCCTAAGCTATGACGCTCGCTTAAGTGTTCGTAGTAAACGTATCCCAATACAATATACAAGCACAATAAATTATGTGACATTTGTCAGCAAAAATAGATCAACTACGTTTACCATGAAATTTTTTATGATCAGATCAAGATTTACCCTAGATGTTTTTTTCGAAAAAGGGAATAAACGTTGACCAGCTGTCAGTGGATACAAGATTGAGAATAATTTCTTCTATTCATCAGTGTAATATATGCATAAAAGAAAGAACTAGACAAGAAACTGAAGAAAATTTGATAAAGAGAAAACTTATGTATGAAAGAGATTTTGAATTACCCGTACTTTTCTGATTTTCCTCATTTACATCTACCTGAACGACCTATTCAATCAAAGCTAACGTCTGTAGCTGAAGTTTTTTTTATGCTGTTTATTGTCATGAATTAGGTAATTTGCTAAACGTCCGTAATTATCTCTAAATTAGATCACTTAAATGTGCAAAAGAATTATGTATTTATTTATACAAATCTAAATTTCTATCGGTGTTACAGATGTCCTCTAGATATTTCTGTATAGTGTAACTTTTAAATATATCACAGTGAAAATAAAATTGTTTACAACGAGTGTCTTTTGGACATTTTTCACCGCCACTTTTAAATATCACTTTTAAATACAATATTATTATTATTTAATTTTGTGGACAACTGTTGATTTATATAGCTCCAAAACTTTAAATTTTCTTCTTCTACAACCTTTTTCTGTATCCATATTTTGTTCATTGTGTTTTTTGTTGTTGTTGTTGTAGTAGTAAGTGAATTAGCGGGAGACTTAGCTTACCGGTGGTAATGCATAGAATGATATTATAGCCAAACACGAACAGCCTGCAATGGTTTTGCCCAAACCAGATTGTGGTACACTATCACCATAACCTACTGTGCATAGTGTTATCTAATGAGGATTTAATGTAAGAAAAGTGTTAGGGAATAAGTACATACATAGAATATAAATATATATAATTAATTAATTAATTTAACTCAGGATAAAATAATTCCAAATGAAGTAGCATTCTCCGCATATTGATTCGCTGGACAGTAATGTTTTCGGTTTGAAATTTCCCACTTCACTAAATGTGTGTTTCGATTTGAGATTCCTTCATTGTATTAGCTGAATGGGAAAGGTTCTAGCAGTACAGAGTTTTCTGCATAAGAAAAAAGGTATCATACTGTATGGTAGATATGTTGAAGTTTAGATACACAATAAAAAGGGTAGCTCAACTTCCTTGTATTCCACACTTATCTGTCTAATAAAGCTTAAAATCCATAACCATCATTTATGCATCCCCTCTTAAATGGAGAAAAATATCAGTTTTTGGAATTAACAACAGAACAGTGGATGCTAAGAACAAAGCAGATATTCAGTGCCACGCCAATTTTAGTGATTCATTAACCAATAACAACAGTTCGTGAAAAACTTTCATTTGGAAAGGAAATTTATGATAGGTTTTCAGGTACTATTGTCATCTATACTGCATTTATCACTTGAAAAACGCCATAACTATTCATTATGAAGTATAAGATAAGAGATTCAAAACCCTTCATTTCCTTTGATGATCGGAATACATAGAAAAAAAAATGAAAAATGATCCGAGGTTTCGTTAACTCTGTCAATAAACATCTATTTTTATCTTAGTAGTTATGTTTCTAACCTAGTTAAAAGCATGTTAAAATGTTTATCCATTTGTTATGTGTTTTCTGTGATAACATATATATATATATTATTAACAGTTAGAAGTGGTGAAAATCTGTCTGATAGAACATAGGAGGAAGTCATTTGTAGTTGAAAAATAGAGATCACTATTTTCGCTTTGATCATATTTTCAATTCTGATGACATTAACAGCAACAACAACAACAACAACAGCAACCTCAAAATGAAAACAAATGTGCATTGTAAGTAAACATGGGTTTTTGTACAATTGCAGTAACTAACTGCTTTTGTGATAATGGTATGTATAGTAAGTATTTCTGTAAAATATACTCTTAGTAAGCGAGTGTTGAAAATAAACAATAAATGAAAGCATCATTCACTGTCCTCCATCTATCTATTTATCTATCTTTATGTTGTTAAGATGAAATCACTTAGTTTAGTAAGATAAATAAACGTATATAAGGATATATATATATATATATATTACAGAAAAATTACGATATTCTTTCATAGATAAACTTACTACACCCCACCATAAAGCATCAGCATAGGTACGAATTTTCTCATTCTCTTTTTTTTCCACTAGAAATATTAAGAATGAACTGAATATCAGACCTAAAAATCCAATATATACAGTTGTGAATAATTCCTGTAAAACAAGAAGAGTAAAAAGGAGGGAATAAAACAGAGAATAAGAAAGAAATGAAATCAGATAATTACAAGCCATACATCCGCGAATATATATAGATACTTATTGATAAAAACAAGAATGGTAAAAACAGGAAAGACGAACAAAAAAACGAAAGAAAAAGCAACGGAACATTCGGCTAGAAGTAAACAACGGTATAAAGGATAAGGAACAATGCATATTTGATTGATTTTTCTATGCCAAAACAAAGAGTTAATGTCACATATAGGATTTATGAATGAATGAATGAATGAGTGAATCGAAAATGCATCTTACTCCTTAGTAAAATTTAGTTATCTATATGCTGTATCCTCTTTGATTGATATGAGTAGTTAGAAGCCACTCATGTCAATCGGTATGGCTTGCTAGTTTGTTGAAGAAGTTTAACATATCAGGCAGTTGTTACGTTATTTCACAACTTCGTTCGTTCACCAGCGATGGGAACAGGTAAGCTGAACTCAGAAGGCTGAATCAGCTTAACACACCTGAAGTCGAACTAACCACTTGAGTAGCCATACGATTAAGTTCATCGTTCGTGCCGATGGAATGAAAGAACCAATATATAGTTTCTTGAAGGAAAACCAAGAAAATAATCGTGTAATAATAAGTTCGTGTGGGTTTGATTTGTTTCAAGTTTGATTGCAACCTGACGTCAGTTAGAGAACCACTGAAAACCATGGGGGAGAGTTAATTCATGCTAGCTCTTTGCTGCTCCCTAGTTTCAGTTTCCTGGTTCTTTAACTGATATCCATCCGTGAACACACTTGATCCAACTCCTCTGCTTGATACCATGAGTGGTGATCAATCAAGCAAGAAAAAATAGCAAGCTACTAGACTGTTGATATTGAAGTACTAGAGAAGATTTGTAACTCAGGTGGATGATTTGCAATTATAATAGTGTTCTCTGAGCTGGTTGGTTTAGTTGCGGAGCTCTCGTCGTCCACCTTCTGGACAACATCTTCAGCGGAATATTTAGTATAATGTGAAATGACTTAATTTTGAATTAGAATCCAAGAACATAAATCAGCCGTGAAAAGACACGAGATACATTCTTTCATATCAATGCACATAGACAATTATGGACATCAATTTGATTGGGATAATGTCGAAATCTTAGACAGAGGAAACACCAAAAGTGCAGTCAGGGAATTCCTAGAAGCCTGGTACTCAAACGAGTATGCAATTGCATGGAGGATTTAATCATGAGCTGACATCAGTTAGAGAACCACTGGAAAACCTGGGAGTACTGGACAGCTATTTCGTCCTAGTTTGGGACTCTTCAGCAGTACGCCCCCACCCACCGGGATTCGAACCCAGGACCTTCTAGTTACAAGGCGAGCTCGTAGACCATTGAGCCACTGGGACCCGATCCAATGGTCCTTGAATTCTAACTTCTGCCAGTTCACGATATAGCGCGACCACTTCGCAATGTCTTCTTCGATGAGTTACTGCCTCATCTTCGACCTGCTGTACCCAGTGGCTCAATGGTCTACGAGCTCGCCTTGTAACCAGAAGGTCCTGGGTTCGAATCCCGGTGGGTGGGGGCGTACTGCTGAAGAGTCCCAAAATAGGACGAAATAGCTGTCCAGTACTCCCAGGTTTTCCAGTGGTTCTCTAACTGATGTCAGCTCATGATTAAATCCTCCATGCAATCAAACAAAATCCCTACAAAACCAATACTTGAGTATGCAATTAACAAACACGTTAATATAGACGAAATATACCAACTAATATAAAGTAAGTTTAAAATCGAAGTCAATAGAAAATGGTCAGTACATATGTAAAGATGGTTACCGGGAGAGACAATTATATCACTCATGAAGAAATTTAAATCACTTAACTTTATGCTGAATATTGCGCTGAAAGGGGATGTTGTCCAGAAGGTGGACGACGAAAGTTCCGCAACTAAACCAACCAGTTCAGAGAACACTATTAACTGCAAAACTGTTGATATATTTTAAAATTATTACAGAAACTAGCTATTAGAATACTATGTACTATCGCATGACATTTGTGATTACTTATATAGCTTCTATGTATTTCCAATTAGGCTGCCTTATATGTTATTTTGATGCTATTGAGTGAGATTCTGATTGTCGAAAATGTAGCGATACGAAGATGTTTCTTTACCTAAGTATTGATTCACATTGTTATTATATTTAAATTATTCATAAACTGTTTAGTCTTGATGCTGTTATAAAATCAAACGAGAATTTAAAATATTCATAACCTATTGATAATAGTGTTTGTTTAGCCTAAGACAAGTAGCCTTTATGCAAGGGAGTTGAATACTTTTCAGACATCAGAATACTTTTCGTCCAGTAATAGCTGCAATTTGTAGATATTGAGCAATGTGTGTATCGCGTATTTTATGATTAATTCACTTTTTTGAATATTGAGGTGTGAATGCGGTGAATGCATACGGGATTTGAGCAGTTTCCATGCTGCATAAAAAGACTAAATCACTGAATGAAGGAAAATAATGGCTTATGGGATTCCCTTCAAGAATTTATATGTATATACTTTTTGTGGGTTAAATTAAATAAAGGTAGTCAAAAAGCACTGTATAGCTTTGAGTTAACTTGCCATTCCTGTTGGTTGGTTATATCGGACTAAAATGCTTGGACACTACTGACATCTAGGCTCTTAGTACGGGAGCTTCGACGGTGTTCAAGAGTCAGTGTGAAGTTATCATAGTTGGTGGTGACTAGGAGTAGAATCCGTAATGCGCATTTAGTCATATTTGAGATCTATCAATTGGATGTACTTGTAGCTCCAATGGGTCATATTACTCCCATTGAGACAACACCACCACTCATTTGGAATGTAGGTACATTCAGATGATGAGCTTCAAAGATGAAGAAATGCGCATTCTGGATTCTACTATCAGAATAAAATTATAAATTTTACTGAATGCAGATGATTATGAAATAAATTGTGTTAATTCAACAACAAATCTGTATCGTCAAAATATTTTCAGATCAAGGAAAACACAGGATTCTTCGAAAAATTAATTTTACAGGCATCAGATCAACAGGCCACGAAGTCACCATTTAACCCTTAGATATAATGAGTTAATTCGTAAAATCCATATACTGTTAATTTTTGATAACTTGTGATCACCAGTGAGTGTCTTAACGTGAATTATTATGTACCATTTTGGCCGCAACTGTAATTCACAACTTAACTGAATATATTGCAAACTCAGAAAGTGTTAAAGGGTGCTTACAATGGAATAATTATTTGTAAAATCCCTTCTCAGAGAGTTGACTAAGAAATTCTTGATACTTATTCAGGTGTTTCCGCCACCTTCATAATTATCATTCGTTTTCTCCTAGACTGCTTATCAATGTTCTGGCATTCGCATATCATCCCTGTTATCCGTCTTTAGTCCTGTTCAGTCTCAAATTTTAGTGCTTCTCCTTGTTGCTATGTTATGATATTGATGAGGTGTTATTTTGTGACTGTGACTTCGTTTGAGTGAATCAAGATCATTCTGAAATTGAACCGTCTGCGAAAATTGTTTGATGCATGATTCTTGCCGACAGAGAGAGTTGTAATCCCAACTTGAGGGACATATTCTACTTGGTTCTCAGGTACTTCTAACTACTGACTTGGATTAACTAATTGTATTCCAGCGTACTTGTTTTGTACTGGAAAATTCTTTGATCTGTGTAGATGCCTTAGGTCATTGTTGAGGTAATTTTGAGTTTATTAGTAAAACGTACCGCCCATTTTATCGGAAAACTCTCTTTTGTCTATCACTGGGACATTTTTGTACTGCGCATTATTCAAGGAAGTTCCGGCTAGCTAAACAGAAGAACATACAGATTGGTATCCCGTGCTCATACCATATTGCGTGAGTTATTACAATGTCTTTTAGAAATGTAGCTATTTCAGTCATACTTCGTATAAAAGCTTTTACTTCTTTGTGTGGCTGCTTTGCATATTGTTTTTCCTTTGTTTTAATAAAAAGCTTCGTAAATTGATCATTTAATGCACAATTTAAAGATATTTTTTAAAATTTTGTAAAACAATTTTTATATGCTTAAATAAACACCTGTATCCTTTTCTGGCCTAATGTTTATAAGAATTGGTAATAATAATAACAATAATAACACTATGATATGAAATTACTTACTTGTCTGTGTGCCCATACAACAGATGCTAGCAATTTAAATGATCCACCTCTACGATCCATACGTATCATACGCAAAATCTGAAAAAATCTCAATCCTCTAAGTGCACTAGCAGCAAACATATTTCTGTCGCTATCTACAGCCAAGACTATTACACTGGCAACTATGACAATTACATCTATAAAAATTTAGAAAAAAAGATTTTTTGTTAAAGGAATAATATTAGAAGAAAATAAATGGTGGCATTGAAAGCATGACGACCAAGAAAATGTTGTCATTACTACTTATTTGTGAATAATAATCTTGTCCAATAAATTTCTTTTTACTCCTTCATGTTCCCCAGATGGAACATAGGGTTTCAAGCTAAAGCTCTGAAGTTTTGGTAGTATTGGTATTTCTTTTTTACGGTATGAGGTTGGTAGCCTCATTCCCAACCGTTCCCCTCCACTAGTCTTATAAGTAAGTTGGCGGGGTAAAGGAATGCATCGACCAAAGGTGAACCCCGAACCACCTGCTTGGTTGACGAACATTCTACCGCTGTGCCACTGACGCACAGGAATGATAGAGAAAATTTGTACTTCCGGTGGGTGATATTAGTGTGTTGTTGTGCCCTCTGACCTGAATGGTTAACTTGGAAAACTTTCATCGTCTTTCTAGATTAAGTCCTTTAGAAAATCAGTTGAAGTCATTCATGGATAATTCAATAATAAGTTCACTTTATCCTGAATTCTGCGCTGAAGTTATTAGCTAGAAAAGCAGTGAAAGTTTTACAATTAGACCATCTAGCTTAGAGAACACGCCTACATCAAAATCTAAGGAATGAAATAGCACTTTTACTTACTTTGATCTGATATGCAGTTGTGCTGACATCATATCAGATAGGAAACGTACATTCACAACAATTACTAACTACGTCGTAATTATTTATCATATATGTCATGGATGCATTAAAATATGTTTAAACACATTAGTAGACATTGATATCAGTGAAATACGCACTTCAGCGGTTATTTTAATAAATAATGCCAGATTTCCATGTGATTTGTCTTAATGTTTGTATGGAATCTGAAATCGCATCTACGTTTCATTCATTGCCATGCTATGCTTTATCTTGAAATTTAAATCTGATAAAGTGGAAGTTTTATACTATCCATAGAAATGTAGCCTCCATGTACTTGGTGCAACTTTGTACTAAGCGTATGAATACAAAATGTCGGCTTTCAAAAACATTTTTAAGGCATGCGTATAAGCTATCAGCGTGATTTTGATTGTGTGTAAGAAATAAGAATCAACAGTTAATAACAAAAGTGAGAAATCTCTTTGTTAACATTGACTTTTAATTTGTGAGTGAATCTTTACATTGTGGAAGTACTGAAGTGTCTAATATATTTTCTCAGTAATTCTGGGAAACCTACGATGAAATGATTCTGAGTTTGAAAAAGTGTTTAAACTGGATGTACTTTTAGCCAGCTGGTGGATGGTGATTAGCAGTGGAATCAGGGATGCGCGTTTCATCATATTTTCGTGAGTCGTTGTCTGGATGCTCCTGCATTCCCCAGTGAGTAATGGTGTTCCCACCGAGGCTCGAACCCAGTGCCAGTAGTTTTGAACACCAGAGCGTTATTCACTAGATAGACCACATGGGCCACGATAGCCATCTCTTGTACAACGGGTCTTAATAATTATTTAATTCAATTTAAAATTTCCCTACCGAGTGACTGGATCGATAGAGACCGAGCACTTCAGTCCAGTTAGTCGATAGGAAAATCTAAATTGAACTAAATAAATGATGCACTTTTATAAAAAAGGTTATAAGAACCTAGAATACAAAATCAGTTGTTGTTCAGTGTCTGTAAGTATGGTATGTACTTGTGCAAAGTACTGTTACAAGGTTGACAGGAGCCTGTACCTACACTCACTTTTGCGGGTGAACCGCTTGAATTTGTTGATAAGTTTGTAAATCTGGGCAGTTGTGTTAGTACTGGCGGAGGGGTGACGGATGAGAGTTTCAACTGTATAATGAAGGCTAGGGTGGCATGCATCAACTTGAGCCACCTCTGGTTCCGTCGCGACGTTGGCCTGGTTGTCAAAGGTCGGGTGTACAATGGTTCAGCGTAGGGTGTCTTACTTTATTTGTATACAATTGGTGGATGGTGGCTAGCAGTGGAATCCAGGATGCACATTTCGTCCTAATTGGGACTCGTCAGCTGGATGTACCTGCATTTCTCAGTGAGTGATGATGTTCCCACCGAGGCTCGAACCCAATGCCTGTGAAACCTGGCATCTCTGAGCTGCGGATGTACGTTGATCATCTCTGTCTGCGCAGGATTGCTTGCGTTTGATGGCATCGTCGCGTGAGTAATTCTGAGGTTCAGCGACGTGTGTTTAGATACAGAGGAGATCACAATTCGTTGAATGTTGTCATCTGGAAACACCGACTTCCGTGGCTTGGACATGTGCTGCAAATGTCATCCTAGAAGCTTCCGTACAGGTCTCTGTTCGCTAGTTCTGGGATGTGATAGAAAAAGAGGAGAAGGGGTCAACCCAAGACGTCATGGGATGAAGGATATTTATGTTAGGTTAGCATTGGTTAGTGCGTCACGACTCGCTGGTTGCGGTCCGAGAGATAGCTCGAATCGATGGCTGAAAACGTTATCGGATATGGCCAAGAATCGTAATCAATGGCGAACGTGGTGCAATTTCCTTCTTTCTTCCCTTCCCGATGATAGTTAACGAATACTGTTTGAACTTGTTAAGCATGACTATTTTCCTTCCAGATGAAGTACTTTATCCGTTCTCTACTTAAATTTTTTAAATTTTGACCTATGTTGTTTTATTATTATTGTGTGGCGCATCTTTCTTGGGGCCATATTGTACCAAGTTTTTTCTGTGTTTAAATAAAGTTGTTCAGGCCCATGTTATATATCGTATTTCTTAATGGCAGTTAGAAGTATAAGTAGTAAAATAAAATTATTCATATTGCAGTCTAAATTCTACAAAATTTATAAAAGGAATGATGTTTTCCTCAGAACAGTGGAAAATTACCGTATCGAAAATCCGTTTACATCAATTCAACTGTTGAAACTGCAGGATGACAGCTCTTTTCAGTCTGAGAGGCAAAATCAATAGTTTTATGTTTATGTTTTTTCAGAGATAATATTTTCTGAGTTGATGAGAAGTGTAGAGCTTAACTTTCAGGGATATTATGTCGATATAACCGTCAAGAAGCTTTTCGTGTGTTCCCTATTAATAACTTATCATAGATTTATATATTCATATTTATGTATGTATTTGGACAAATAGATTGCTCAATCACTTGAGTAATCTTATAATTTATGTGCCTCATTATCTCACTGCTACCCTCAATCTCCATTTTCACAAATCACCTCTCACCTCACCTTTGTTGAAATTAACTGTCACGAAATGGAATTTTATCAGCAATAAATGCATCTCCATGATATGCAAAATTATATACTTTGCAATTGTATGATATTGCGAGAATAAAATAGAATTCCTGTCGCTTTCTTAGTGTTTATGAGCATTTATTTAATGAATTTACAAAGCTTTTGACAATCATCAGTATATTATGACATTAGGCAAGGTGATAACCACTGAAGCACACATTTTGAGCATTCCTACTGTGAAGCGTGTGCACTGAAAGCTAATCGCTATTTCTGTGGGTTAGAAGTGAGACCATTTAGTGTTTGTCTTTATGGATAGAATTTAGTTTTGAAAGTTTTCAATCTTTAAATTCCAAGATTTTGCTCAGGAACATATGGTGGAGGGTAGCTATCCCAGGAATCCCGGATGCGCATTTCCTCCTGTTTAGGACTTACCATCTGGATGTACCTCCATTTTTCAGTGAGTCGTCGTGTTCCCACTAGGACTTAAATCCAGTACCGATAGTTTTAAACACTAAACTTTATCAGTCAGAACACCTTTTTGGTAGTGGATATTAGCTGTTGTTAGTTTTAAATTCAGTTTTGACATCTCGTTGATTGGTTAAACTGAAATATTCGGCCTCTGTTGACATATTGGCTCCTAACAAAAGACGTTTCGATGGTGTTTGCAAATTAACTTGAGGTAGTCTGGTAGGTGAAGACTAACGGTAGGATCCTGGATAAGCATTTCACAGAAGCGTTTGTACTAGTAGGGATTTGATTGGTTACAGGATTTCATCATGAGATGACATTGGTTGGAGAACCATTGGAAAACCTAAGAGTACTGGACTGCTGTTTCGTCTTAGTTTGAGTCTCTTCAGCAGTACGTACCTACCACCAGGGTGCGAACCCTGGACCTTCTGGTTACAAGGCGAGCTCGTAGGCCATTAAGCCACTGGGACCCGATCCAATAGCCATTCCATGAATTCTAACTTCTGCGAATTCATGACAGTGCGCCCCTAGGCAATGTCTTCAGCGAGTTTTTGTCCTTACAGCCGACCTGCTGTGCCCTACTGGTCACGACTTCTTACTAGAACACCAGTTAACTACATACCTGAGTAAGGCAAGTCGCTACTGAGCATCTCATCGATATTCAAGTGTTGGTTTGTAGGGATGTGATCAGTTGGTTACAGGATTTCATCATGGGCTGACATTAGATAGAGAACCAAACTAGGACGAAAAGCTGTCTAGTACTCCCGGCAGGTTTTCCAATGGTTCTCTAACCAATGTCAGCTCATGATAAAATCTTGTAACCAAAACCAAAGCAACTGTTCGGCGTGAGTTAAATTACTTTTTTACTCATTGAACAAAGCGTTAGACATATTTTCATAGACCAAGTCAACTATCTATTGTATTTATATGGTATTTCTTACCAGAGAAACAAAATTAGCAAACAAAAATTGCTGAAGTCCTAGCTATTTAGTTGAAAAAGCCACAGTTATGTACACTTAAAGAAAATTGTCAAACCACCTCTATTACCATGGTAACAACTGTGTCGACTTTTACTGGCTTGATGTTTGTGTGCTGGTTTTTTTTCCTAACTCCTTATAAAATTTGTAATTTCTTTGAACTCTTACACAATATCAAATTCTTCTTTGTTTTTATGTACATTCTAATGACAACTCATTCATTAAATTATTCATCTTATTACGTAACTGTATTACGCTTTTTCAACTTCCTTTATGTATTGATTAAGGCTAATAAATATGTTCTTTTGACAACATATCACCACTACCCTCTTACCAATTCTAACTCCTTCCCCTTAGCGACAGTTATAATGCTCAACACATTTTTGAAATGTCTTGACAACAGCAACCCCCACTTATTTTTATTGTTATCGGAAAAATCCAATGTACACACACCTAGAAAAATGAGTATATGTAACTGCGATTGTACAGCTAAGTGAATGGATTCGCCAAAAAGAGACTCTTCACTGAATTGCGTGTTTTTGTTTTCATTAATATCTGGATGGAGAGTATTCATGAATACTTAATGATTTTCTGAAAATTTACAGGACAAATAATCCATCATTATCTAAATGTACGTGCCTACTGGGACTCGAACCCAGGGCCTTCCGGTTGTAAGGCAAGCTCGTATACCATTCAGCCACTGTGTGAGGATGGATGTCTCACCTACGACAGTGGTTGGGGTCGCGCTAAATCACGAATTGGTAGAAGTAAGAATTCATGCATGGGCCATTGAATTGGGTCCCATTGGCTGAATGGTATACGAGCCAGATTGCCTTGTAACCTGAAGGTCCTGGGTTCCAGCCCTGGTAGTGGTTGCGTACTGCCGATCATTCTCAAACTAGGATGAAACAGCTGTCCAGTACTCCTTGCTGGTTTTCAATGGTTTTCTAGCTGATATCAATCCATGATCAACTTGTAAAAACAAAACTAACCCCTATAAACCAAACTATAGAAAATTATCTAAATGCACAAAACTAATTTTCGAACATTAATTTGTAATTTAGTATTATAATCTTGTATACTTCAAGTTTCACAAAGTTTCACAACGACAGGACCAGAAAGTTATGTTCGCCTAACAAAGTAGAAGAAGAATTAAGCTTTGTCGAAAAATGCCTTAAAGAAAACGGGTATCCAAAAGGATTTATCCTAAAGTACAGCAAAGAAAGAGATGAGAAAGAGAAATCTCCAACAGTTGAGAAGAAGAAAGTGTTCATTTGCCTCCCATACAAAGGAGAAACCGTATCGCAAAAGATTGAAAAGAGGATGAAGGGAGCAGTAAAGAGATGCTTCCCTGCAGCCAGTTTGGTGACACTATACAGTACTACGTGCTCCATAAGGCAATCGAAACTGGATAAGTTCCCTGCTGATGTTACCTCCAACTGCATTTATAAATTTACGTGTACCTGCGGCAGCAAGTACATTGGAAGGACAGAAAGAAGGGCTTCTATCCGGTTTTCAGAGGATATTCCAAGAAACTTATGCCTAAAAGGAAGCAGATATCTACAAAGTTCAGTTACCAGACACCTTGTGGATACGGGTCATTTTGTCGAGATTTCTAAACCCTTCAAAATATTAAACATACAAAGGACAGCGAATCTACTACGATTTGCTGAAGCAATTGCAATCAAACGTCACAGACCAAACTTATGCATACAGAAAGAGAGTGTGGTCAATCTCTCACTCCCTTGGTAACCATATCACTTTCATTACACTGATTAGTCATACACACTAGGGAGATCAACTCACTGAGCAAGTTTCCAAATTGATGAACCTTGACCTTCTTGGGTTGTTATGTTGACACTGTTTATTAGATTTTTCTGTTCTCTGTCTTCTCTCACCCCCTTTTATTTTCTTCTTTCATAGTTTGATAGTATATAAATTGATGGTGACTTAGATTATAATACTTATATTTCAGATGCGTTCACCTTATAGTGTTTTCTCTATTACCTTTCAAACAATGAAGTATGAAATGTTATTATTCATAACCATTGTAATTTCAGGTAGTTTGCAGCTGATGAGAACCTGTGAAATAGAATGATATCATTTTATACTGCAAATCTGGTCTTTTTTTCTCTATCAAAATTTATCAAGGGAACCAAATGTATGAAAAGAATTTTTTGTTGACTGACTTACCAACTATACAAAAAGGTCGTCTTGCGAAATTCAACCTTCCACGCCATGTCTGATATCTGGATCTACACCCAGCACTCCATAGACGTAAACAATATTCAGCGAAAAACCAAAATAGAATTACAAGTTCCTTAAGAGAAGCGAAATTACCGAAAAGAATTGTATATTATTATTTGATATGAAAAGTATTTTTAGATCACTATCAGTGTATAAATTTTTTATTTTATTTAATTTATTTTTTTGATTACAGCTTGATTCCACACTGTATTTTTGGTACAAGTATGGAATTTTCAGCATGAGATATCGGTAGCCCAAATTTCCATTGATATCACGTGTGCGTCGGTAGGGGATCGAACCTCGAACCATGTGCATGGTCGGCGAGAGTTCTAACCACTGTGCCACCAATGAGGCTTTTATGCATGGAAGATTACAAAACAATAACACTACAAACTACTTTATAGTGTAAAGTGGAGCTCTCTTTGAAGTTGTTAAAATTATTCTTTTCGTAAATGATTTCGAGATAAACATCTTTAAAAGGACTGCAGTTATCCCTGAATACGGTGTGGACTTAATGGTGTCAAATGTGGCGTTCACACACAGCCATTGAAACTTTTCTGCTACCACTGACAGACAGACTGAACCAGATAAATGGTGTACGACAATTGTCAGTTGGTCTTAAGGCATTTTATTCTTATTCCTAGAGTTTTTCTCCCCTGTCGTAGTTGAATTTCAATGATTTTCTAAAAGCCATTTAGGAGCTTTACTACAAATAAGGCTTACATTTCTATCTACTTTGAAAAGAATCATGCTGTTTTTATGGAATCCAAGCTTAGCTTAATTCTACACATTCTTGATATATTACCATTTATTTTCTAGCAAAAGGTCTATACTGAATTTTTGTCAAAGTGTTGTTATTGGTGAATGTAGAAGTAAAACATGTGAACATAAATATTCTTATTTGTTAAATTATGTTTTTAAAAAGACATTTTTGTATGAATAAATATTCTACTACAATGCTATATACTATGAAAACCTAATGCAGAAAAGTTAAGATTAAACACTGTTAATCTTTAAGCCAAGTAAGTATTATTGCTTCAGCATGCTGTTGCTGATACATAAAACTGTGCATCGGTGGCACAGCGGTTAGGACTCTCACCGACCATGCACATGGTCCGGGGTTCGATCCTCTGCCGACGTACATCTGAAATCAATGGTCGGCCTTCAGAATTTGGGCTAACGACATCATATGCTGAAGATTTCATACTTGTACCAAATGCGCTGTGTGAAATCAAGCTATAATCAAAATACAAAAAAATAAAATAAATACAATGTCAGAGGTTAATTTAATGCTACTGATGAAGTCATATTGAGTTTACTTATCTCCCTTGATAGTGGTTTACTGTAAAGTATATTTTTTCGCCTAATAAAAGTTACTAATCTGCAATAAAGTCTAATTTGTTTAAAGGTACCACATAGAAAATAAATCCACTTAGCACTGTAATTCTCATGATAACAGAGATTCGTAGCTCCGGTGGATGATTTGCAACTAATAGCGTTCACTGAGCTGGTTGGTTGGCACTCGTCAGTAAGGCATATCTGCAACCCTGAAGGAGAGCATGTCCTCTCTGAGATTCAAACCCGCGTCACCCAGTGAACTCTGCAGTCATAGACGTTGCCACTGAGCTATTCGGGCTCGCGATTGACCTCCTGTAGAACTGAAGTGGATATTTTGATTTGACACTAGTATTCAGTGTGATGTGTCTAGTCCTCTCTTTGGTGCAGACTAAATTCTATCAGTCAGATTTGTAATGTGGCCACTAAACTCTAACGGAAGGTCTAACACCCTGATCAACTGAAGATGTTGAAAGACATATCAACGCTGGTCGATTGTTGCTATTATTACATGAACAGTAAACGCAATTCGGATAGTATCTTAACCAAAAACATAGAGAAGCTCTGGATGCTTTCCTCAAAAATGATAACATAATAATAACAAGACCGAATTAGGGCTCAGGAGTGAGAAGACACTTTTTGTTGCTTTCCGTATACTTTGGGCAATATTCTGATGATACAGTGATCTGAATTAAGTAGTGGGGCTCTTTTTCGAGCTTCAAATATTCCTGCGTCATTTGTAAACACAAGATCAAGGGTGTTATCCATTCTAGTCGGGAAGTTGACAATATTATCGTGTCCAAGTGAAATTAGGAAGCTGTGATCACTAGAATTGAAATCTCCAGTAACTATAGACAAGGAATTTCCGAAGGAGGTGGCAGCAAGGGAGGTAAATTCACCCGCAAGAAAGATAATTCTGTGGAATTGTATCCAGGAGCAATATAAATGTTCGAGATGTAAATGTAGTTTTATTTTGACAAATGTTTAGGTCAACACTTAACGGTGAGGCAGTCAATATTGTCACTAGAGAATTTGAAACACACATTATTAGACGTACACCATTGTGAATTGGTGAAGATGGCGACACCGCCCCCGCGTTTCTTCCTGGAACTACATCGATCTTGTCTGAAAAATTTGAAATCATTTAGATATGCAAGATCGTCATCATATAGATCGTGTAACCATGTTTCTTGAAGTGATATAATTCCAGTATTACGATATATAATGGAAGACACAAGCGATTGAAGACAGTTAATTTTAGCCGACAGGGAGCGACAATTGGTACTCATAATTGCGGGAACAGTCATGAATTGAATAGGGGTATTTTTTAAAGCTCTTTGCCAGCCGACATAATGCTTTTTTTGGAGTTGCAGATCAATAGGTTTTAGGGATATTAAATAGTCACGAGAATAAATAATCTAATCAGAGGTCATATATGAATAAGATTTAGTGATTAAAAATCAATTAGAAATGAGAAATGAGATGCAATATGATTTGTAATGTTTAAAGTATTTGGTAGCCCAAGATTTAAGCACGTCGCCAAGGTCATGAACAAAGCGGATTACTTTGAGAAGATGCATATTATTCTTAATGATAATCTAAAATTCCAACAAATCTCCTCTTCTCTGGATCCGATTGAAAAGATAGATAAACAGTTAGCGGAAACATTGAGAAGACTAAAACAGCAAGGCTTCATCTCACAGAGTCACTATACACCACTTAAACTCACTGGAACGTCCACACCATGACTATGTGGCTCTCCTAAAGTGCACAAAAATTTTGTACTGCTTTGACCAGTATTATTTATGTTAAATTCACCATCCGATCCCATAGCCAAATGGTTAGTCGAACTCTTACAGCCTCTTCATACCGAGTTGGTGAAATACAGTGTAAAGGAGACTTTTGGATTTGCTAAAAGGATAAAAGATTTAAATATTGATAATAAATTCATGATGTCATTTGACGTGTCTTCCTTATTCACCAATGTACAATCACTCATGGAAACAGTGAACTTTGTGTGCGAAGAACTCAAAAGACGAAACATCGATGTTGACATTCCTATATCTTTTTTGAAAGAGCTTATCTTGAAATGTATAATGAATGTCCACTTTTTATTTAATAAGGAACTATATAGACATTATGGGTAAATTTTGTTTTGATAAAGACTCACAGTGTTATACAGTAATGTTTACTGATGACGTTTTGAGCACAATTTATTGCTCTTAATCATATCAAAGTAATCACACAACTTCCTAAATTCATTTATATAGTTCTATTGTTTTTCTCTATATAAATGAATTTAGGAAGTCGTGTGATTACTTTGATATGATTAAGAGCAATAAATTGTGCTCGAAACGTCATCAGTAAACATTACTGTATAACATTGTGAGACTTTATCAAAACAAAATTTACCCATAATGGAATTACACTCTACCACAGTGCACAAGTTTTATTCTTATATCAACTATATAGACAAATCAACAGTGTGGCAATGGGGTCATCACTAGGACCGATTCTAGCCGACATTTTCCTCATGAAACTAGAAAATTGTCCTTTGAAAGATGTCACTGACGAACTTGAATTCTATTGTTGTTACACAGATGATACATTTTTGATTATGCAAAATAAGAAGGAAGCAAGAAACATCCTGGATAAATTTAACGAGATTCATCCTGCAATAAATTTTACTGATGTGAAAGAAAAAGACTCATTTCTAGACGTCCTTATGACCAGAAAAGAGGATGGCACAATAAGAAGAAGAAGAAGTGTATGCAGAAAACCTACATCAACGGGTCAGTATATTCCCTTTCTCAGCTTGGTACCAACCAGCTCAGAGAACACGATTAATTGCAAATTCTCATGATAGTTTTCATTTTAATATGAAAACTGTATATCTTTTCTGCATAGATAGGAAAATGAAAATAAGGTATATTAGCTTAAATTCTTTGGATTTCACCTATTCATTATCCCCAAAGTGTTGACTAACACGAGTTTGTATGGTATATAAATTTTGTTATAAAATGTTAACAGAGAAATTTATGAAGTTATTAGTTTTGAACTACACTTCTGCATACATATAACTTTAAGTTGAAAATATGTACTTCTTAAAAGCAATTAAATGGAAGTGAAAATTACTCAGAAAAAAAGAGCGAGGCGATAATAATTCCAGCAGTAATTGGTGAAAAAAAAGCATTAAGTAATCAGTGATGAACACATTTCCGGAGAGGGGGTGGTCTGGTGGAGGGAAAGGAAGAATACAGGAATAGAAGCAAGAATCATATTCCAGTAACCAAACATCTGTCTAATTAGCTTACTTTTTAAATACTTTCTAATGCATCTGTATAAGGAAAGAATTCATAGATAAACTTCCCTACGAGGCTAGTAGATGCATAGGATGCTATCGAGATAATTGAATAAAGTGATACAATTTTCATAATTTAGTATTATGTAGATTTTAATGATTTACGTACGTAATTGAAAGAATAATGTTGAAATCGTACAGTCTGCGATTCATTCTTATGTATTGTCAATGTGCATACACACTCTGAATCAGTAACATTACTGATTGCATTATTGCGAGAGGCTAGTTTAGAAATATAATCACTGCTATATTTGTTATCGCCTAGTACTGTCCATTGTAACCTCACTCACTTTCTCTTAATAAGTTTACGGATGTGTGTATGTGAAAATCGGTTGTGGTAAATTGAACTGATGGACTTTAATGTATTTTTCAATTAT